TTTAGGTGGCCGGCCCGGGGGGCACACAGCTAGTTGGTGTCAGAGCAGGGATTTGTATGTCAGTTTGGCCCCCATGGCAATGGCCATGGGAGAACACAGACCCACTGGATTGTTGGAAGACTGGCATCTTTTTTTGATCCGACTGCAGTTCTCTACCACTATGACCAGCTGCCTCTAGCTCCAGATAGAGGCAGGAATGATTTCATTTATCTTGGTATGCCTAGGGCCAGCACAGCACCTGGCACGTCCACTTGGTCCTGTCTATAGCTTGTTGGTAGCGAGCTGTTGGCATATTTTCTTCCCCATCAGACTGAGTGCATTTTTGGCCTTTCTTTGTAGCACAGTAGGTACTTGTTGTTCTCCCCTCACCCCCTTTGTCTCCCCCATTGGACTGTGAGATCCTTGAGAGCAGAGATGTCTTTGACTTTTCTTTGTATACCCAGTGCTTCCATCAATAAATTTTTTATTGACTGATTGCGTCAGATTTTTTGGATTGAACTGAATCGAGTGTACTGGCATGTTAGCTATGGCCAGCCCTTCCAGGCAGACCTCCAGGCCAAAACAAACAAACATCAGCAGTTCTAAGACATCTCACTTTATTTAAAAGAAGCTAATATACAGAATATAAAGGGCACAATTATTTACAACAATACAGTAAACAGGCTGGTTTTCAATGGGGTCAGTAGTCTGTTTGGATGAATAGAAAATAAAATTAAAAACAAACCAGGACACTCTAGGACCCCTTGGTGGGAGGACAGCTGGGGGCATGGAGAGTTGGAGGGAAACCCCAAGTCCCTCCCAACAATGTCTCTTTAAATAAATATTCCTTTGGGGTTAAGGTTTCGAGCTATATTTAAACACCACTAGGTTCCAACACTAGGGACCATATGGGGATAGAGGCAGGGGGTTTCAACGCTATTTTTTCTTTTTTTTTTTTGAGAGGCTAGGAGGAGCAAGAATCTACTGACCAATTCAGGCTCTGATCTCTCCCAACGAGGAGAGAGGGCAAACACAGCCAGACCCTGGCCCTAGGCTAGCTCATTCAAGTGCTTGATCCCAACTGCCCCTCCTAGGCTGTCCAGTCATGAACAACTCCTTGCTTCGATTTCATCTTGTTCAAACTTAGATCTGACTTTAAGAACCCAGGCCCCTCCCATGCCCTGCCTTCTAACCCCACAGTTACCCCTCTCTCCCACCCCTCCAAATCTACTGTTTCTCTGCTAAAACCAGAGCCCTTCTTCCTTGGCCTAGAGGAAGATAGGGGGGCTGTTCCAAAACCTACCTTCTCACTCCCCCTCAACCCCACCCAAATCTGGAGTTCATGGAAAACCTTCTCCCTACCTCCAGAGATAGACTTCTCCTTAAAATGGAGACAAACCAACTTTCTGGCCCAACCCAGAGGCAGGTTGGGAAGGGGAATAACTTCTTAAGCAATAAGACATTGCCACTGACTTGTGTTTTACCTAGCCGGAACTTCTGAAGAAGTAAAACGTTGAGGATAGAACCATCCCTAAGACTTTCTTGAGTTGGGGACCCAATGACCCTCTGGTCAGGACCTGGGGGTATAAGGGGTCAGTGGGGACTCTGGAGACAAAGCAAAATAAACGACTGATTTGGAAATGGATCTTGGTAGCCCCCAAGATGGGACAACTCTTTTAGGAGGAGCTTGTCCCTGACATCCTTATTCCTATGAGACTAGATGGGCATCACTGAATTCTAGGCCTAGGGAGGGGCAGGGGGACTTCAAAATATCTGGCCTCATCTGGCTCTGCCCATTATACAGAGGAAAAAACTGAAGCCTGGACTGCCTTGAACAAGGTCCCCCAGCTACTTAGCTGCAGGGTGGGGACTCCTGGCTCCCAGTCCAATGTTCCTTGCCCTGAACCACACTGCCTCCCTCCCTGACCCACGGGCAACACAGAAGGACTGGATAGATGAGATGACATACAAGCAGGCACACATCATTCTCCCTTCAGAAGGCCCTGTACAACCCAGAGCTGGATGCCAACCCACACACTCAAAACCTTCCCCTTTGTAAAAATAGATGAGTGGGTCTTCTGTTTCATAAATAGATTACATTTAGCTGAAGTTACACACACTCTTTTTTTCCTCGCCTTCCCCCTACCCTCACCTACCTCCAGGTTCCTTGGTTCACTACTTTCCATTTACTGACCTATCATTATGTTTGTGAGCTCACCATGGGAGAATACATACATACACACAGGCATACACACAGAGATGCACGCACACATACACACACACACACACAGAGTCCCCTACCTGTATCTCTGACTTCCCTTCCCTACACTGGCCCCCCTCAACTCTCTCAGTGTATATAATGTATCTGACCTCATGGCCATTAAGCCAAACAAAAAAACCACCCCAAAAACCTGCTTTCTCTCTTCCCACCACCCCTGCCACCAAAACCCCAAAAAAGTGATGGAGGGAAAGAGGTGTGTATAGGAAGCCTTCTAAAGTACCGGCATCAATATGACGCCGTGACTAGAAATAGAAAAACAAGAAAGTATTTACAACTTTACAAAGGAAGGACTAGGTAGTCCCAGTGTTGGCCTAGTGCTGGCCCTAACAGTGGTGGGCTGGCGGGAGGAGGAGGAGAGGTGGGACGATTCCTGGAAAGCTACAGGCTCAGGGAAAGGGGGCCTGCCACGGTTCCGAGCTGAACTTAAATCAAGCTAAGAGTCAGAAACCAGATCTGCTAGGAGCTCCCAGAAGGAGGCCAGCCCCAGCCCCTCCCTACCCCACACATTCACCCAGAGGGTCTCCTGCCTGTCAAGTGAGGGGCATCCATGGTCCTCCAGCCTGCTCTCCAACCAGAAGCCAGCCTGGGGGATTAGCTACGGGCAAAGATGGCCTGGCCAGAAGGCAGCCTCATTGGCTCCTCTTAAACCAATTAGTCACCACCCCACAGGACCCACAGGAAGAAACCACCCGGGGCTAGAAAAGCCGAAATAATACAACCAGACACCAGTCACCATGGCAACTGCAACAGCTGCCCTCAAATACTTCTATTATCAGTCTTAACTCTAAAAATATGTCACCTTCCCATCACCTGGAATATAATGCCCAGAAAGGAGGCTATTTGTGCCTCTGGGGCACAGCATGCCATGCAAAGGAATGGTGACCTCCCTAAAGGGAGTCTGCCACCAGTGCTCTGCCTGACTCTTCTTCCTGCCCTATGGTTCTGGGGAAAAGGAGAAAAGGAAGCTCAGGGAGATCTGCTCTGAAGGATCATCAAAGCCCAGGCAGATGCTCTGGTCTTGGAGATATACAAAGAGAAAGAAACCTGGGTGGGGAGAGGGGAATGCACAGGGAGGGGCTGGACATCTTCCAGCCAGGGGGAATGGAAAGTTCTTCATAGCAGCTGAGGTTAAAGCCCACAGGGCTTTGCTACCCTTTGGTTAAAATTAAAATAGAACTGATGGTTCCACCTAGGATGTGTGTTTGAACCCTGTTGCCTAAAAACAAAGAGAGAAAGTGAGTGGGGACAAGCAGGAGGGTGCTGCTTGCCCCCCACCCCGCCCCAAGCCACTGTTCCCTGAAGGTTCATGACCAGGGACTGCTTTGGCTAGTCGGAGCTGCTGGGGGGATGAGCCACGGCACCTCTTGGCCAACTGAAACGTGGGGAATCCATCTACCTGACTTCACCCCAACAACAAAAAAGATGTCAAAGGCCACTGAGGTCTGATAAATTAGAAATGGTCACACATACACTTTCTCTTTCCATATATATATATATATATAATCTATAATATGTATATTATATACAGAATGGCTTTAAGATAAACAACAACAAAAAAATAACTGGAAAGAAAAAAAAGTCCCCGCTGGGGAATGAGGTGGTTTCCAAAGGGTTCCCTCTGGTCCCCTGGGGTAGGAATACGGGTGGGGAAAGATGAGCTCAATAAGAAGCTATGTCTGGCCTTCTAACTTGGGATAAGGAGCAGGGGTAACTTGCCCACCCCTTCACCATCCCTCACCATCCTGAAGAAAGCTAGGCTAGGCCGAGCGTGTCCACTGCTCCTTGGTCCTCCAGGGGGAGCTCACGAGTCAAAATAAAAGTTCACTCCCAAATGGTAGTGGACATATTTTTTTTTTCATGTCTCTTTTGGGGACTGGCAAGGGACTGTGATGCCAATGCATCTCACTCGGTCCAGCTCCCACCAACCCAGACCCAATTACCACAGAGATACCGTCTCACTCGCTCACATCAACTTCCCATGTCAGTTATCCGTCAGTCAGTCAGTCAGTGTTATAAGTACCGAGGCTACATCTTACAAATGGTGGGGGGCTAAAACATGCAAGAGATGTTCCCCATCTGGCTTCTGCAGAACCACACCAACGCCCTAACATCCCTCCCTGGCCTCCACTTGGACGGTCTCCTTCCTATCAGTGGCTAGCCAGCCCAGGGGTGAGAAAGCAAGATGGCGCCATTATCTTTGTCATGGTGTGTGGGGAAGGAGATCCCAACATGGAAGAACCAGACAAGGCTATTCTACTTCCAGGGTGACACTGGAGAGCAAGGAGACGTACCCGCCTGACACCACCGACCCCTACCTTCTCCCAGAGAAAGTGTTGCATCTAGACCCTGTGGGAGGAAGAACAATTCTATTGATTCCCACCCACAAAACCATTTGGAGGAGGCCCAGCCTCAATAAACTAAGAACCCGCTCTCAACCATGGCCCCTAGAAGGGACTTTCAATAGTAGCTTAGTTCACCACCTCCCTATTCCTATTTTACAGAGGAGCAAACTGAGGCAGAGAGAAGGGAAGGAACTTGTCTAAGGTCACACAGCTAAAAAATCAGCATCCCTGGAAGCAAAGTCACAGCTAAGCCTTTGGGGCGGTTGGAGAGATTGCCCGCAGCCTCTCTCCCCAGTCCAGAGAAAAATCTAAGGAAGGGGCAGGGAGAGGGAAATATTTATATATTTCATATATAAATAAGGCGAGCTCTTTTTTTTTTTTTTGCATAGTAGTCTGAACACAGTGTCAATCTTTCCCTTCCCCCCTCCCCCCATGCCTTGTCTTTTTGTTACTTGGGATAAGAAAAAAATACAGGGGTGGGGGCATTTTCCCCGCTCTTCCTCCTTCCCCAAAGCATTGGCAGCACAGATCCTTTCTTCCGTGGCAAATATCTGGGAGATTCCCTCCACCCCTTCCTCTGCAGGGGATTTGGGAGCCAAAGGCCCCCACCCCTCCCCCTGGAGTGGTCAGGGGCCAGTGGGGCAGGACAGGGCAGAGCAGGCAAGGAGTACTGCCAATCAGTGCAGCAGGTGGGAGGGTACAAAATGCCATCTATGCCACCCAGGGGCCTCTGCCCCTGTCTGGTAATTGTATATAAAAAACCCAGCTTGGAAGAGTTCTTTAAGCGGCTCAGCTTAAGGGGAAAGGCACAATTAACACCGTATCTCCGGACAGAGTTCGCATTTGTAGTGTAGAATAGAAATTGACAGCACCAATCCTGGGGTGGGGGTGGTGGGCGAGTGGATGGAGGAGGAGGAGGTGGGTGGCGGGCGGTGGGCGGGCGGTGGGAAGCAGCGGTCCGCAGAAGCCCTGGGATGGGGGATGGGGGAGGGAGAGTGGCGGAAGTCCTCCAGGGCGCGGTCAGTGCTGGCTCCCTCGTCCCCCCCCCCCTCTCCAGGCACCCTCCCCGAGGTTCATCAGCTGACCATTGGCTCCACATCAGGGTCTCTCTCAAACTCATCCTGGATTTCATCTGTGCTTCCTGAGTCACTGCTGGCCATGGAGCTGGGGGACGGCGAGTTCCTGGGACAGAAGAGAGGGGGCAAGAGTCAGGCTGGGGTCTGGGACTCAGGGATGGAGGCATGACCTCGGGTCACAACATTTAAAGCTGGAAAGGACCTCACAGAGCTAGCCCCTCATCTTAGGGGGGAGGATAGGTACCTTCACGAAGGCCACACAGGGAGAAGAGTTGGCTGTCAGTCTTCTGACTCCAAATCCAGACCTCTTTCTTTCCTTTTACAAGATTATGACCTCTAACATACACACATTTTAGCTACAGAGTGCCAGGCCAAGAGTCAGGAAGACCTGAGTTCAAATCCAGCCTCAGACACTTACTAGCTGTGTGTGACCCTGAGCAACTTACTTCTCCCTGTTTGCCTCAGTTTCCTCATCTGTAAAATGAGCTAGAGAAGGAAACGGCAAGCCACTGCAGTATCTTTGCCAAGAAAACCTCAAATGGTGTCATGATTTGAGAGGTAGAAAGGAATCCCCAATGTAACACACTCCAAAACTTGTCTGAGGACCTCCAATGACAGGAGGACTCACCACCTCTCAAAACAGCCCATTCCATTTTGGGACAGATCTTTGTGGTGGGATATTGCCTAAATTTCCTTCTTTGCCACTTTCACCCATTGCCCTGGGGCTAAACAAAATGAGGGAGGGAATGATCTCACCATCCCTTGCCCTGGACATCTCACATCTGAGACACAGAAGCCAGCTCTGGGAATCGTAGTTTGAGATGTCTACTGATAAGATGGGGCATGTTCACAGCCTCTGGCAAGTGGTCATCCACTCCATGAAGGCCTGGGTGAAGACCTCCAAGGAACGGGAGGGAGTGAACCCCGAGCCTGCTGCTTCATTTCTGGCTAGGTCCAGCTGCTAAGAACTCCCTCGTTCTGAGGAACTTCCCAGCAGCCTTGTCGGGGGGCAAAGGGGGGAACATCTTGAGGTCAGAAGCGGACACAGCGCATGCAGAAGGAGGAGGGGTGCCTGAGCGGCCTGCCCCACTACCTGTCTGCAGAGCCCTTGATGAGTCGGCGGCACGTCTCCATCTGGACATCCAGGCCCCTCTTCATGCTACACATCTCCATGTACTCGTGCAAGTGACGGTTCATGTCGCTCTTGGCCGTAGCGAGTTCCAACTAGAAGGAAAACAAAAACATGTTCTTGCAATAACCTGTAAAGCAGACGACCAATTTATTAAGCTCATTTGTAAAATGAGAGTTGAAGGGACAGATGAAGATGTCAGGGAAGCAAGGACAAAGCTGGGCCTTGAACCCAAACTTTGGGAGTTCCACACCAGTCCTTTTCTCACAATGCCATGGAAGTTTAAAGGGTCTTTGCCCATGTTTGGAGCTCCCTGGTGTGAAAAGCCTTTCTACCGATGCAGACGAGCAATCCATGTCGTTTCTTGTCTTGGAGGCTTGTCTGGAGGTCCTGAGAAGTCTCGGGTCACACGGCCGGTATGGGCAGAAGCAGACTGTGAATTTGGGCATCCCCGGCTCTGAGCCTGACTCTCATATCATTGTTATTAATGATCACCTCTAGTCATCTTTCCCTGACTAACCTGGCCCAGTTCCACTCACCGCACTACTCCACATTCTCTCAGCATTTGTAGGCTCAGTTTACCCTAGTGTATGTGTTTCGCCAGGCATCCCAGAGTCTTTTTAATGTGTCTCTCCCATCTCAACTCCTGGACGGATTATCAGCTTGTGTATCCCACTAAAGGATCCATCATCCCCAGGGCATCTCTGTCTCTCTGTCTCTCTCCTTAACTGCCACAGCTCTTTTAGGGGGCACAGCCTAGAAAATGCCCCCATTGCTAGATAAAAACCTTTGCTGCTGTTGAATGAAGTGTTTTCCACTAAGGGGGATGTAGGGATAATCCTGAACTCTCTTCCTTTGTCCAGGGACAAAATTCTTCCTGCGGTATGGCTGTTGTAATGTAGTACCAGACAAGAACTTACCTCCTTTTGTTAAGGCTATTATTTCCCATAATGGGCCATTACTGGTCATCTTGACTTTTGGCAGAACCCCAGCCTCCTCTTTCTTCAGCCAACAACAGACCCCAAGTGGACAGGGTCACCCCCCCCCAATACCCGCATTTGGGACATTAGGACAAAATAATTCTTCCCAGGGCTCTCTGCCAGTCCTCACCTCAATCTGGCCTATTGTCTCCTGGTACTCCTTGTCTCTCGTCTTGAAGAAGGATTCGGTTTCATGAATCAAGTTGCCCAAATTTTCTTCTTGCTAGAAAGACAAAACCAAGGGGATGATTAGCTAGTTAGGGGGCAGATCTCGGGGTTCTGTGGAGTCCTAGAGTAGTGATCCATGAGAGGAGATGGAGCATGAGAACTAGGAAGAAACTTAGAACTCAGAATGTCAGAGGTAGGAGGGGCCATAGAACCCAGAACGTCTGAGCTGGGAAGGGCCTTAGAACCCAGAACGTCAGAGCTGGGAGGGGCCTTAGAGCTCACACAATGAGGCTCCCTCAGAGTCCCCCAGAACTTCAGGGCTCCCCCAGTCAGTCTTTACACAGAAGAGGAGGAACAGGAGGAGGGGATTGGGATGAGAGAGGATACTGGCTATCTCAAGAAGGGAAGGGCCTCGCCTCTTGCTCACCTCTCCCTGCAGGTCAATGGATGGGTTGCAGTTGGTAAAGTCCTCCCAGAGCAGCAAGGTGTCCTCATTCTCTTCCCAAGTCAGACTGTCGCAATCATCATCAAAGTCAAAAGTCTCTCTTCTGTGGGGGGGAAGCAGGAGGGGGAACAATACCATAAGAAGAGGTGGTAAGCAAAGAGAGAAACTGAGTCCTGGGGACGAGGACAACAGACTTCAGGGACCAGACACTAATGAAACTCTCCCCAACCTTAATCCTTCAAAGGTGGAGTACTGGGCCTGGAATCAGGAAGACCCAAGTTCAAATCTGGCCTCAGACACTTATGAGCTGTGTGACCCTGGGCAAGCCCCTTAACCTCTGACTGCCTCAGTTACCATAACTGTAAAATGGGAATAATAAGAACACCTACTTCACAGGGCTGTTGGGAGGATGGAATGAAATAATATTTGTAAAGCACTTAACACAGTGCCTGGTACTTAGCAGGCACTTAATAAATGCTCACTTCCTTCTCTTCCATAGAATCACAGAATTTTATGTTATTGCTGGCAGGAACTAGAATGCCTGAGCTGGGAGGGGCATTAGAACCCAGAATGTCCGAGTGGAGAGGAACCTTAGAACAGAGAATGTCAGAGCTGGGAGGGGCCTTAGAGATTATCTAATTCAGCCTCTGCATTTGACAGATAAAGAAAATGAGGTCCATGACTTTCCTAACACCACCCAGAAAATCTGTGTCAGAGCGGCGCTAGCTCTCAGGCCCCCCTGATGCTCTTTCCACATCACCCCCACACTGCTTCCCAAAGTTCCTTGGACTATTGTTAAATATTTCATGGGCCTTGAGGACAGGACAGGGCTCATGTTTCCAGTTTATTAAGAAGCAGGTCTCTGGAGTGCTGGGAAAATTGCTTCCATGGGGTCAACTTTTCCAGGGGGGAAGGGGGAGAAGGGAGTGCAGCATTCAAGATCCAGGCTTCAAGACCGGTCAAGACCCACGAGGCAATTCCCAATTGTGCCTCCAGGTGTCTCTGTAAATTCAGGGACTAGGGCCTGGAGAGAGCAGCCAAGCTGGTTCCAAAGAAGAGGAGAGTGGGCAGGAGGGAGCCTAGGAGGTCTCGGATCTGGAGCCTGCTTCCCTGCCCCCCTCCCCCCCACTTCCTTTTGAGTGTCTAGGCTCCCAGTGAAACCAGAGCTGGGAAGGGGAGGGCAAAGCCCCCCGGGCAGGACCCTGGGGGTTGGGCCAGAAGGGGGTGGCCTTCTCTAGGGGCCAGGGAAAGCCGATGGCCTCCCTCCTCCACACATATACAGTGATCCCAAGCCCGGCCCTTTCCCACATTTGACAGGCTTGGGAACAAAACCAACTGATTTTAATCAGAACAAAACAAGAGCTCTGATGGTATTCAAAGCCCAGGGCCCCAGTGGAACTTGCCCTAAGGATGCTGCGGATAAAAGGTGATGGAGCTGGGATGCTGGTGGAAGAGGGGGTGGCCCGTCCAGCTCTTTCATTTTTAAAAATAAGTTTTATTCATGTCTTGTATTTTTACGTCCTGTTCATTTACGTCCTGCCTCCTACCAAATGAGCTGTCTCTCAGAACAAAGAAAAATGGGGAAAACCAACCTGCCTCATCTGACAGCCAAAGTAGGTAGCGTCTCATGCCCACAAAGTGCCCTCCCACAGCGGGATTTGTTTCATTCTTTGTCTTTGTAGGTCACTGCCTGGCACATAGTAGGTGCTCAATAAATACCTGTTGATTAATTCCCTCCTTTCATTGTAGGGGGTGGGGGTTCTGTGGGTAGATGCGAAATGCCTGCATTTCACAGTCACCTGCATTTCCTCCTAGAGGGATGGAGGAGTGAGCAGGTCAGACCTCTGCTTGAAAAGAAATTGGGGGGTGGGATGGATAAAGGAGAAGATGGATCAGGATTCAGAGTGTGGAGCCAATGGGGCTAGCAAGATGTAGTGGATAGGAGAGAACCGTCATGGGTTCAACCTCTGAATATGCCCGTTTGTCTTCCACGTTGCCCCCAACCCTGGTCAGCTGTGAGGGGGGAGGGACTGAGTGAGAGAACTAAAGATGACTTCAGGTCAACTCCCTACTCACTTTTACCCCCCCCAAGCTGCTCCACTACCCCGTTGGCAAGGGGAGGGGTCTTCTCCGTAGGCCCTGCACAGCCCATAAATATCCCGTTGTCACCACTTTTGCCCTTAGAAGCCCTAGTCTGCTTCTGAACAATACAGCCTTTTCTCGGGGGGATTCATTAAGTCATCAGAAACAGTCTTCTCAGGAGAATCCCAGAGCCAGAGACACTCCTCTCCCCTGGGGCATGAGCACTTCCTCTCTCCCCCTCCTTTCAGACTCCATTTCCTTTCCCCAAGATTCCAGGGAAGGGAAGGAGACCTAGAGAGCAGTCACCATCATGATCATTATGAATAATCACAGATGTCCCAGTGAAAGAAGAGATGAGAGCCCAGGATGATAGCCCTGGAGCAGCCTAGGAGTCCCGGTGGCATCCTTGCCATGCCCAGAGGAAGGGAGTCAGGCCCCCCTAAAGTCAACTAATAGGATGAGAAGGACAAGAGATGGATGGACCAGGCAAAGCACTGTCTTAAGGACTAGCACTGGAGCACTCTCTCTCTCTCTCTCTCTCCCCTTCTCTCCTTTCCTTTCTTCTCCTCAGTCTCCTCTCTCCTCTGTGTCTGTGTCTGTCTCTCTTCTTTCTGTCTTTCTCCTCACTTGCTCAGGAATCTTCCTGTCTCCCTGTCCCTTCTCCCATTGCATTCTACATATTTTATATCTCTTAGAATCATAGATTTAGAGTTAGATAAGATCTCAGAAACCACCTGGTCCAGAGATTCTTTACCTGGAGGTCTGTAAACTTTAAAAAAAAAAAAAAGGATAATTGTATTTCAATATTAGGGCTATCTTTCTAATCCTCTGCACTTTATTTTAATCATATAAAACACTCTTCTGAAAAGGGACCCCTGGGCTATCTCAGACCCTGTCAGAGGGGTCCAGGACACAAAAAAATGTTAAGACTGCCACGATCTAATCCAAATCTCTCGTTTTACAGAGAAGGAAACTGAGGCCTGGGGAGGTTAGAAACTGGTAGCACCCTCTTAACCTGAAAACCACTATACCTTGCCTCCTTCTCTAAAAGGTGAACAGGACTCCTGGAGTTCACACTTCTATAGGTCTTTAGGATTCCTAAAAGGCTTCCTTCACAATGGTAGAGGGAGGAGACAATTGAAGCATCATCATTCCCTTTTCACAAATGTGGAAACCAAGACTCAGGGATCTGCCTATGGTCAGGCAGTTAGGAAGCAATGCAGTTGGGATTTCAGTGGATCACAGGTTTTGGAGCTGGGCAACTGAGTCCCAGAGCATTAAAGTGCCCAGCCCGGGGTCATGCAGGTGGTAGTAGCAGAGCCAGGGTTGGGACCCAGGTTTCACGACTTTGAGCCTATTACTCTTCTGGAGGGGGAATGAGGGTAGGATCCCAGCTCTAGAGCTGGTCACCTAGTCCAACCCTTTATTTTACAAATGAGGAAACTGAGGCCCAGGGAAATTACAGAATCAGTCAAGGTCAGACTGGGAGTAAGCATCAGAGGTGGAATTTGAACCCAGGTCCCAACTCCACGGCCAGGATTCTTTTCAGTGAATCCTAACTGCTTCCCACAAATACTCACAGTTGGTTGAACATTCGCTTCATTTCATCCGTGATGTTCATGGAGCTGACCTCATCATCTGACAGCCTGGTGACCTCCCCATCCTGCTCAGAAATGTCATCCTCTGTGGTTACCTTACGGTCCTTCTTCTTGGATGCTACCTGAACCAGGGAAGGAAGTGAGAGGAGAGGTGTGAATGGATGGTTCTGCCTGGGTTGAGAGAAGGGGTTGGGAGGACCAGGAAAGATGGGAGAGGGGGGCTGCTCCCCCTACGGGGCAATGGATGGAAAGCGGTTGAGGCCAGCCACGGCCAGGGCCAAGCAGTGAGAGCTCACTACAAAGCAGGAGAACGTTAGCAAACAGCATAAGGGGAAGGAAGGCCACCATGGCAGAAGACCCCCTGACCTACCCTCTCTCTGAGGCCTACTGTCCACAAAAGAGCTCTCTGAGGCTGCCTTCCCCAAGGGGAACAGCAGGAGAGAGATGTCAGGGAACCAGCCAAGCAGGCGAGATCCAGAACCCAGAACCCACAGAGAAAAGCCGCTCCGTGTTTCCTGGGGCCCTCTGACGACATGCAGACAGGGGTGTACGGATACACGCAGAGCTCACACACAAAGCTTGGAGAGATACAAACAGAGGAGCTGGCCTTTGCCCCTTCAAATTCCTTCCACTGGCTCTTAGATTGGTGGGGAGGGGAATAAACTCCCACCAGCAATGATACCTTTGCACCCTGCCTCCCCCCAAGTCCACAGTCACACACTGAGAAGCAATAGCACATCCTTTCCCCCTGAAATCAAGCAAAAGCCAAACCAAAATTCCCATGTCAAAAAAAGCAGCTTCCCCCAAACAGTAGCAAGCTATGAGAAGGCCACAAAATGTCCAGCAGGCTGGGTTTGCCCAAAAAGCCATCAGCCCCTCTCTCCCTCTCTCTCCCTCTCTCTCTCTCTCTCTCTCTCTCTCTCTCTCTCACACACACACACACACACACACACACACACACACACATACTTTAAATCTATGATTCTAAAATCCTACAGCATTTCTCTTCACTGGCTCAGTTTCCTGCTCTATAAAATGACGCGGTTGGACTTTGCAAAACAGCAAAAATCTGACTGTGAGCATGGACCATGGGATACAAGAAAAAACCAGAGGAGACGTAAGGATGTTGGGATGCTACCTCTCAGGGAAACGAGGAGAAGGGGAAAGGATCCTAATAGTTAAAGGGGGAGGTTGTTCTTAGCTAGATTGGCTAGGACGCCCCACGGTCTCCTCCAGCTCTAAGACTTCATTATGATTCTGTGAGCCTGCGGCCAAGACCCAGATGGGCCATCAGGCAACTGAGTCAGTTTTGTTTTGTCTCTAATAAAGTCATTTCCCTTCTCTGGGACTCAGTTTCCTTATTTGTAAAATAAGGAAGGTCAGAACAGATGAACTGTGAGTTTACTTTCAGCTTCAGCTCTGTGGTTCTAAGTCACTTTCCCTCTCTCCGGGACTTGACTTCCTCATCTGTAAAGTGAGAAGGAGGTCTCTTCCAGCTTAAGCTCTGGGGTCCTAAGACACTTTCTAGAGACAGGGATGGGGCCAGGGCTGGCAGGTGGCGGTGGGAAGTGAGGGGTGAGTGGCGAGGGGTGGGAGGCCCTGTTCACCTGAAAGATCTTGGACACGTCTTCCGAGTTCCGCTGCTGTGCGACATCGCACAGCTTGGCCGTGATATCGATTCGCCGGCAGATATCCATGTCCACCTTCATGGCCTTCTCTTGAATCTTTGTGTCCAGGTCTGTCATGGGCTGCAGGGAGGACAGCACGGGGGTTACACGAGTTGGGGGCAGGGGAGAGGACCAGAGCCTGGTAGGGGCTTATCCCCACCTCACAGAACTCCTTTCCCAGCCTAGTGGGTGGGTGAGCAGGAGGTGAGGGAGGGCCTTAGGACTGGGGGGTTTACTCCCCCCAGAGCCTGGGGGAAACCTCAACTCTTCCAAGTTGGGAGGGATCAGCCTTCACAAGAGTCCCTGGAAACTATGCTGTGGTCTGGCATCATGACGCTATGACTGACTTAACTTAAGGCCTCCCACCCTGCTCCAAGGCAGGCCTACAGGGCTCAAGATTTCTCAGCCGGGGGCTGCACAGCCCTGGCTAAGGACTGGAAGGCATCTTCTCTCTCAGCAGCTATACAGAGACTGTGGGTTGTGTTAATTAAAAAAAAAAGAAGAAGAAAGAGTCCAAAATCTGTTGAAAGATTGCCACTCTCCCCACCCCCCACAGCAGGCTCCATCTCACACAGAACCCCAAGAAAGAGAGAAAAGACACTGGGGATGGAGACTTGTTACCCATGGCTTCATCCCCACACTGACAACCCAATCCAGAGGCCCGAGGCACTGCCCCCACCCACACACATCCCTCAGTGGCCCAACTCGCCCGAGAGAGACAGAGAGGGCATGTCCAAGTAAGGCCAGGGCCTCCATCCCTGCCAGTGAGGACTTCATTGGTATAGGGCCTGCCCCTCACTTTCATCCTCCACTCAGACGATTGGAGCTGATTCATCTGGGCTCCTCTGGGTGCCCATTTCATGAGGCTCTGGCAGTACCATCTCTCCCCAATAGGGCTTTTCCACTACTCCCTGCAGAAAGGAAATCTGGGGACCTCACAGGAGGGGAACCACAAGGCTTCCCTGATTAAGAACAGGAGAGGAGGGGGTTTCCTTTTACACAGAAGGTTCTCCAGAGGGGGAAGCAAGAAGCCTAGAGGAGGCCATCTCCATTCCTGCTGTTTGGGCGTAGGATGTGACATATTCAACCTTCTCCTCCATTGCAGAAGACCATGAGCTTTTGCTCACAAGATCCCCGCCTCCGATATCTGGATTGCCTGCCCTCCCAACTCTTCTTTTGTTTTCTACCCATCCTTCAAAGTCCAACTCCAAAGCTACCTCCTCCAAGGAGCCTTCCTGGTCAGTCAAGATCTCCTCTCTCAGATCTCCTGTGACATTTTATTATGCCCTCATCTAAGGCATTGGTGGTTTATTATTGGGTTTTCTCCATTTGTGGCTTATTCCCCTTCTAAATGGTAAGCTCCATGAGGGAAGGGAAGAGGTCTCTTTTAAACTTTCTATCTCCTCTAGTTCAGACAACAGGATAGACTTTTTTTTTAAATAAAGTTTGTGTCCTGTCTGGACCCAGATTGTATACTGGGATGGTCAGAGGTCAGGAGACACAAAAAAGTCTCTCCCAGCCTGGAGAGGAAGATACTTCCTGAAATAACTCCCCATACCTAGGTCTGCTTCTTGTCCTTAGATGGATCCCATAGACTTTCAGGGGACTAAAGTCAGAGTTCCAGTCAAGTACTGTTATCACACAGTTTGAAAAGAAAGTTTAAAATCCAGGACCCAGCTAGGGCTGGAGGAGAAGGAAGGCCAGCTGTGTGAGCTCTCCCTTTCCTCTTCCATAGGGGGAAGACAGCGGCCTGGCCCATTACAACTCCCACTGCACAGGCCCCTGGGCCCAAGTCACCTGTGCCGCACCACCTGGGGGAGATCCTCTACTGAAAATATCCAAATCAATCACTCCATCAAAAGGAGCCCTCAAGGCCATGGGTTAAGCAGCAGGTGAATGCATCTCTACACAGACCAAATAGGAAGAGGAGAGAGAAGGAGGGAGGGAGGGAGGGAGGGAGAGCGGAGAGGGTACTGAGGGGAGGGCAGGGGGAATGAATGGTCTCTGATGCATCTGTCATCAAGTCAAACGCAGCCAGAATACTAACTATGAAGCAATGCCCACAACCGGACCGGACGGATGGACAGTCTGACCCTGGTGGTGAATGAAGCCGCCTGCATGATGGGGTGGGGGAGGAAGGAAGGAAAGGTCATGCCACCCAGGATGGAGGGGCAGGGAACAGCACTTACATCACTCATCAGCCCCTTAAACACCACCAGCTCAGCCTTCAGCCGCTCAATCTTCTCATTCATCTCCTCCTGGATGGCCTCAGCCTCCTGGGCCGCCTGGGATCCGAGTGGGGATGACGGGGCAAGAAGGAGAAGCAAAGGGGAGGGAGACAGCAACAATTAAGGAGGTTCTGACAACTGGCGGGGAGCAGAACCGGCTGGAAGGAACACAACACCGCCCACCCCTGGGGCTTCAGGGCGTGAGCCTGGGCAAGGCTCGGCCCAACCACATGGCAGACCCTCAGGCCAGACCAATACAGCCACATCAGAGCAAGTGGAATGATAACATGAACAAACTCCATGACCTGTAACAAGGAATGGATTGCCCTCTTTTTGCAGATGAGGAAACTGAGATTCACGGAGAGGTCATTCAGCTAGTCAGGGCCCAGAGCTTTGAAATCAAGTCTTTCGATTATAAAACCAGTGCTTTGGGACCCCCACACTGTCTTTCAAGATGGGAGTCAATGGAAATAGGGAATCAGGGGGAGGGGGTGACAGGCAACTCATGGTTCAGAGTCAGGCTTAGTGGGGATCCCTCCTGTTGGCAAGGAACGTTTGTGTGCTCTCTCTCTAACTAGGCACTGTTGGCTCCATTTTTCATATAGGGAAACCAAGGTCCAGAAACATAGGGTCACATAAAATGGTAAGACTGGTATTTAAGAAAAAAAAAGGCTCCTCAGCTTGGAAGTCTATTGACTAAACCCCATTGGTGGGGCCTGAGCTCTGGAGGAAGGGCATCTGGGGATTCGAGAAGGGCAGGGAGAACCTTCCCTAAAGGAAATGACCCCTAGCCTTGAGGCTCAGGACCTGGAAGAAATGACCCTCCAAGAATTTCAAAGTTAAAGGCTCCCAGATTATCAGAGCAGGAAGGGACCTTTGACAGTATCCTGGGTTCCCCCTTTAATGGACAGATGGGGAAACTGAGGCCAAGGAAGAGGAAGTCGTTTGCCCGTTCACACAGTGGCAAGGTTACAAAATCATAACCCAGGTCCCTTGATTCCCAATTAGGAGCACATTTTCCGAACCACAGACTTTCTGGGCATTCGCATGTGCATGAGAGGTGAGCGAGGTGAAACCCTTCCCAGTTCCCCAAGAACAAATCAAACAGGAATCGAAATACAGGAAAAGAACCCCAGACCCATAATCTGGTTAGAACGCAGCCATGACTTCTGGCTGCGTTAGAACCAGCTCTCCAAGGGGCAGCTAGGTGGCGCAGTGGATAGAGCACCAGCCCTGAAGTCAGGAGTACCTGAGTTCAAGTCCAGCCTTAGACCAAACACTTGACACTAGCTGTAAGACACTATGCCCAGGTATGACCCTGGGCAAGACACTTAACCCCAATTGCCTTAAAAAAAAAAAAAAAAAGAACCAGCTCTCTGCTCTTGTCTCCGAAGGGTGCCTGGGCAGGCAGGGCTGGAGAGCGGGGAGCCACCGCTCCTGTCATTTTGGGCTACTTCCTGGGGCTCTTACCTCCTGAAGTGTCTCCACCATGGTCTCCAGGTTCATGCGCTTGGCCAGCTCCTCCTCCCACCTGAAAGAGACAGGAAACATCACTAAGTTATTATTATTATTATCATTACTATTATTAATAGGAGATAAGGGCGGGGGCAGGCTCTCAGGCTGAAGGAAGATGTGACTCCCCATCCCAAGCCTAAGGGAACACAGCCAACATGAAGAAGTCACCCTCCGCAGCCCTCTTAGACATGCAGTGGGGCAATGCCAAGAACGCTAGACATGAGTTTGAATCCTATCTCTATCCCTTATTCATTGTGTGACACTGAGCAGGTCTTGCTGCCTCTCTGGGCCTCCGTTTCCTAGCTCTAAAATGGGGAGGATCCCCCTTTAGCACCCACCTCACTGGGCAGCTGGAGAAAAGACCTTTGTAAAATACCAGAGGAATGTATATTTCATGTGGCACCTACACATGCACACACACATACACTGGCTCCCCCATTAGAATGAAGGCCCCCTGAGGGCAGGGCCCTTAGTATCTCCAGCACTTAACTCACTTAATAAACATTCGCTGATTGATTGGCTGAATGTAGGTGATTATTACAACTAACAGATCACAAGAGTGGTTTGGGAGTTAGATCTCAGGAGTGCTCTCCAGGAAATACACTGCCCCAGCAGAGGCCAGTGGAAAGAGGCCTGGATTTGGAGTGACAAGACTTAGATTCAAATCCTGCCTGTGTGACCTCAAGCAGTGAAGCGGTTAAACCAGAAGATTTTAAGGAACCTCCCAGCTCCTACCCAGGATCCCTCAGCTTTGTGAGAAGTCCTGGCTCTCTACTGATGAGAATTCATCAATGCTTGTTGACTGACAGATTGATTTAAATCGTCATAATTCACAGTTCTGCAAGTGCTTTCCATGAGATAAACCTGTGAGGTATATAGTATTGCTGCCCCCATTTTACAGATGGGCAAAATGAAGCCCAGAAGAAGTCACTTGTCTGAATTCACATAGTTATAAAATATCAGAGCCGAGACCAGAACTCAGGTCTTCTGACTCTCAAACAAGTGCTCTTATCCACTGTAGCACAACCAACCAAAGAGTAGAAGTCATTTGTTCATTCATTTAATAAGCATTTATTAAACGCCTCTTGTTTGCCAGGTACTGTGCTAGGTGCTTGGGGATCCAAATCCAAAAATCAGGCTCTTGTCTTCAAGAATATTACCAGCTCTTCCCCTGACCCCCCGCCCCTCCAACCTTCAGTATTTGAGTCATTACAACAAACATTTATTAATCGCCTACTATTTGCCACTATGCTGGGTACTGGGAACCCATTGACAAAAGGGAAATCATCCCAGCCCCCACGGAACTGGCATCCATTTGCTCATGTGACACTCAGTGATGCCCATTTTACAGGTGAGGAAACTGAGACTCAGCGGCTAAGTGATGTGTCCACAATCCTCCCAGCTCCTAAGTGCTGAAAGTTGGATTCTAAGCCAAGACTGCCTGTCTTTGAGTCTACTCCAATATACCTGCTGCCTCCCTGAAGTTGGGGATCCCAGGAAGGTGTGGGGAATGTGGGCTTCAGGAAGGGCTGGTCTCCTGGGGGCTCATGGACTAAATGACCGCTAGAGACAAAGGATGGAGTGATGGCTGGAGGGTGTAGTGCTTAGAATACTAAGAAAGGCCTGGCACCCTAGGGGGGTATTAGGGGAGCAGTGAGCACCAGGGAAGCATAGGAGGGGAGCAGTGAGGGTGACAGAACTGGCCTGTCACTTCTACACCCTAACGTGGAATTCAGAAGACCTAGGTCTGAGTCTGAGCTCAGTCACTTCCCAGCTGTGTGACCTTAGACAAGCTGCTGGCTTTCTCAAAGGCTCAGCCCCCTTGGAGATAGAAAGAGATTAGCACATGGGCCCTCCTAAGAAAGTCAGGGCAGTGTTTCCTGAACCAGAGCCCCATATAGAAGCTGGAGCTGCTATTATGGACTTCAGGGAAGAAGCCAGAAGCCCACAGGTACAATTACACTGGCAGAGTCCAGCCCCTGCGGGCGTAGGAGGCCTAGCAGGAGGAGAAATGCCTTCACTCTCCTCCCTGAGTTCTACCCTGCAGAGCCTGGGATGGTAGAGTTCTGAGGGGCTCAGACCCAGCGATCTCCGAGCTGCCCCCCCAACCCCCACAGCTGATCTTTAAGTAGCTTGATTGGGGCGTTTGGTTTGGTTTTTTGCTCATATACCAGCATCCCGCTGGCTATGCCTGGTGAGCAAAACAGAAAGGGCAACCAGTCCACATTTCCGTCCACTACAGTCTCTCTCTCTCTCTCCTTTTCTCTTTTAAAGTCGTCACTGGGGATGATTAAAAATAGGACAAAGGGAAGAAATGGGCAAGCCTGGGAAGATTCAATCACGTCATCCACTTTTTGGAAACAAGTGTTTGCATGCACGCGCACGTGCACGCGCGCACACACACACACACACACACACACACACAGAAAATTCCTCCTTTCCTCCCACTCCGGAGGGAGCCAATGCCAGGGATGCAGACCAGTGTGTCTGTCTATGTCTCTATCAGGGCTCTGGCCAGGAGAGAGCTGTCTGGGACAGGAATAAAGGGGCCTGGAATGGAGGCTGGCAGCCCACACTGTTCCGAAGGAACCTTAGGACGCAAAGTCTCAGAGCTAGGAGTGAGGACCTCAGAACACAGAATGGGAGAGCTGGGAAGAACCTTAGGTCATGGGATGTCAGGGCTGAAAGGGACTTTAGAAATAGAATGTGAGAGGTGGAAAGGACCTCAGAACAGAGAATTTCAGAGCTAGACTGAAGCAATGGTTCTGAGGGAGAGGGAGAAAAGCCCCCTAATAAGAAGGAACAGCCCCGGGGCTTATGAAGCAAGGAGAAGTATAGGGGATCTGGAGACAAATCTAAATTTAGAGCTGAAAAAGACCTTTGAGATAACCTAATCCAGCCCGGTCCCTGCACAGGAGAAAAGAAAACCAAGAACTAGGGCCTGGAAAGAAGAGATGACTTACCCAAGGTCACACAGCTAGTTAAGGCAGTGGCAGGTTTAGGACCAGAAGACAGGGTGTCTGTCCACAAATCTTGGGGTCTATCCATTGTACCCCACTGCACAGAGCAGACCTTGGGAATGGGCACAGAAAGAGGCAGTAATTTACCCTCAAGGAGTGAGAGTGGAACGAACCATAGAGGGCATTTTGTCCAATTTCTTGCCCAGTTGAGGGTAAAGATACAAAGGGAGGCCAGTAGTCTCAGCTCTGGAGCTGAATCATCCCTTCTTCTGGCCCTGTCCCACTAGTCTTGGGAAACAGCCTGGGGAGGTCTGGTTTCCGAAGTCACTGAAGGAGAAGCCCCCTGGTCCCCAGCGGTGGCCAATCTGGCCTCCAAGGAGCTGCGGGTAACCCCTACACGTCTCCCCCTCCAAGAGCAGCAGCTGGACGGAGGAGCTGCCTTGGCTTCCTCCTCTCCCTCTGGCACACAATGCCTGGAGAGGGGTCACAGAGATTCGGCAGTTCTACAATTCCTCACCAATGGAACCCCCTACACAAGGCAATTTCAGGTTGGCAGAAGGGAAACATGACCTCATGAGTAAAGCACTCTACAGACCCCAAAGTGTGTTCCCTTCTCATCCGATTTGTGAGGTGGGCAGGGCAGGCATCAGGATCCCCATGTAACAGATGAGAAAGCAGAGCCACAGAGAGGGCCAAAGACCTACAGCCTGGAAGACTTGGCAATGCTGGCACTAGAAGAGGATCCTCAGAACAGTGCGATAACTGGGGCAGGATGGATTAGAGCTTATGGAAAGTAGAGGCCATCAACGCATTCCTGCAGAGAAACCACTGCACAGGGCACAGGCTTGGCAAGAATCATTAATTATAATAGGAAGCTACCAGATGGTGAGCTCCCTCCACCCAGTGACTGCAGATGAGGCCAGGTAAGCTCCTCCCACACCAGCTCCACACCCTCAGGGGACTATCAGAGTTGGAAGAGACCTCAAACATAAACTATCTGAGTTGGAAAGGACAAGAGAACACGGGATGTCAGAGCTGGGAGGGCCCTTAGAACACAGAATGCCAGAACTGGGAGAGTCCTTAGAACACAGGATTTCAGAGCTGGAAGAGAACTTAGGAAGTAGAAATGGGGAAACTGAGGCTCAGAGAAAGGAATCACATAGTGAGTTAGTGGCAAGGTAAAGACTAGGACCCAGGTGTATACTGTCTCCACACATTATGCTTTCCCACTTTACCGGTGCTTGCTGAACCCCAAGGCAGATGGTATTTCAGAGTGACAGTCATAGGCACTTTAATTTCTATATCCAGGTTTGGTGCTTAGCCTGGTTTCCAGTGGCAAGAAGGTTTAAAAAAGAACTCTCCTCTAATCCTCTACCCTTCTTGATGTCAAATCAGCTTTACAGGATAAACCTGCTGTCTTTAGGAGACCTAGCTACCCTACTCCTCCAACTCTTCCCCTTGGCTCTTCAGAGCAGTCAAAGGGAATCCCTAGCTTTGTTATTTCAGGCATTGGTGGCAAAGCAAGTTTGGGCTTTTTAATGACTCTGGCATTTATAAGACTGGTCAGGTGTGCTCCTTTGGCCCTCTTTGATCTCCCAGAACACCCCAGCTAAGACACAATTCCTTTCCCTCACATGTGCCCACCTTATTGGTCATAGCTCCCTTCCCAGATGGCTCACCTACCGGGGAAGGCAAGCAGGGCAGTAGTGGAAAAGAGCTTTGGACTGGGAACCAAGAGACCTGGGCCCAAGTCCCAGCTTGGCCACCAAATGTGAGATGTTGAGCAAACTGCTTCACCTCTCTGAGCCTCCAATGCCTCTTTTGTAAAGTGAAGGGGTTGGGTAGTGTTTTTCCACTCTCAATATTGGGGAATACTATAACCAATCCAAGCTTCTGCTGCTGAAAGATTCAGAATGTCTTAGAGGCTGCAGACCTTACAAGTTGATGTTTCCTTCTTTTCCTACCCCTGGTTCCTGTCTTCTTCCTGGTTCCTCTTAGGAGTTTCTCTCCCTGAAGCCACCAACAATAGTCTTAACAAGTCCCTAGTATAGTTCTT